GTTTGCCAAGCTTAATTCTCATTAGTCTTTCTAAAGAATCCAACTTTGATTAATAAAATGATAATTAAGCAAACTCCTTACTAAACCATAACTCCTTGAATTGCCATCAAGTTTATAATCACTTATAATATGATTCAAACTCTTAATTAGTAAGGAGAAATTTTTTTACAAAAATGGGATTTTAGTGTTGAATCATCAATTATATTATATTTTCTTTTGTTAAGGTGTTTTCAAATTAATTTTCGTGCACACACACTTTGAAATTAATGCCTCTTGTAGTGCAACACACTTTAAAACTAATGCCTCTTGTAGTGCAACACACTTTAAAACTAATGCCTCTTGTAGTGCAATCCTTATATGGACATGTAGTACATTTAAAAAAATTAATTTATTTAGGTATTAATTTCTAAATTTGAACTTTAACTTGTAAAATAACAATTATTTGTCAGTGAATTCAACCTTATAATTATTAGTGACATTCTCATTGAATAACAATGTAACATGCTTAAAAGGAGGTTACAGTTGAATAATATAAATCACGGTGATTGAGAATGGAACCAAGTTATTTATTTATTGTTGTCAAGTTCCTTCATTATTAAGTATTTTTACAGGCCTATATTAATGATACATATCTACTTAGACGTCGAATTCCACCAAACGGCCCGATTGCCACGCGCTCCATTGAGGTTGGTGGACTGTTCACCAGATCTCGATCCCCAGTTACTAACATCTAACAATACTAACATACTAACCATTGCCCTTATAAAAAAGAAAAAAAAAAAAAGAAAAGAAAAAAACTACTTAGACGTCTGGCCTAGCTACTTTATCTATCACTGGGGAAAGAGAAGACGCTACCTTGACAAAGCAAAAGAGAAAAGCAGGAAGCATTTTTATGTACAAGATCCAAACCAATAAATTAAACTTTATTGGCAAGCTCTACTGATCTACCTTCTTCGGAGTCACTCTCTTTACTTTGAAACTGGATTGGCTTAAGTGTGTATTTCTTGGCACAACAAAGGTAGTAAATAAGATTAAAAACCTGCAAGCAAGTAATTAACCAATAAAAGTACTCCAACTTTCCTTTGTTCAAGTTGTTGTCCGGCAGCCAATTCGAACCGTCCTGCTTCGCACTGAACTTGTGCACTAAGGAAACCAAAAGGGTACTCACATAATTTCCCATGGAAATCGATAGCCAAAACAGAGCAAAGGCGGTGCTCCTCATGCTCTCCGGTGACTGGTCGTAGAAAAATTCCATGTGACCGATTGACATGAATGCTTCAGCTATCCCATGTAGGCTGTACTGTGGGACTAGCCAGAACACTGAAATGGGGATGATGGAATGGGCCTTATCTTCAAGCCCATGGGCGAAAGCCGCCTTTTTCCGCTTCACTTCCACGAAGCCAGCAACCAGAGTGGCTAATATCGAAATGACTAAGCCTATCCCCATCCGCTGCAAGAAGGTGATGCCACGGTCGAGCCCCGTGAAGCGGCGGGCGACGTGGACGAAGACGCGGTCGTAGATGACGACCGTGGCCAGCATGGAGGCCATGGTAAAGACGGACATGGATCCGGCAGGGATCTCAAAGGACTTGCTGAGGTGTCGGTCCATGGTCTTGGCTTGCTGGAGGGAAAAGGTGCTTTGTTGAGCATAGGCTGTGATGAGCAGGATCCCAGATGCCCATATTGGTCCCATTCTGATCACAGATTTCAGTTCTTCCACTCGATGAATAGTGTTTAATCTCCATAGATTGGGAGATTTTGTGTTGTCTTCTTCTGTCACGATAGCTGCCTTATCTAGAAATCTACAATTCAAGCATGTATGACATTAAAATTATTTTGTCCATTTCCCTCTCAATCATGTACCTAAGTCCATTATTGCGTTTGTCTGCTTTCAGACATCAAACTTGCAACTTGTGTGGTTGTGTTAGCGAAATTAACGCTCCATTTAGTATTTTTAAGAACTCAAACAAAAAATTTACTTACGTAATTTGTTTGGTGTGGACAAGATTTCCTTCCAAAGCAATGGAGGCATCCATCTCTTCGTTCTTGTATAGTAACTCAGGGTCTGGAACCGCCAATTTCCTCTTCCTGAAAGCCGCCACCGCCACCTGCAACAACCGGGTAAACGGACTTCCGGAAGGGTCCAGGTGCTGGTAAAGTGGGTACCCAATAATAAAAGCAATGATTGAGAGAAACATTGCAACAGTCGGAATTCCAAGTCCCCATCCCCATCCAACATTGTCTTGGATGTAAACTAGCACCGTTACGGCCACTAGCATTGATGCCCCCATAACAAAATAGTACCAATTGAAATACTTCCATGTTCGGGTTACTTGCTTTGGATCCGTTCCGCTGAATTGGTCTGCCCCGAAAGACACCACGCACGGTCGGATCCCGCCTGCCCCTAACGCTCCAAAGAGGAGAGATGTGTAAAGGATTCCCAGCTGTCCGGCGTCGGCTTCTTTGCACACTTGATCACCAGTGCATGGCGGCGGCCTTAGTTGTGGTAATATTGCCGATAAAGTTAAGGATGTCATTCCCTTGCAAGAACAAAGTGCAATTTAATAAATAAAAACATAACCTTCATGAGTAAAATTAAGATTAAAAAAAAAACATGGAACTCGATGGTGACACTATTTAATTCAAATAATTGTTCAATTTTTAGCCAGTTGGATACTATACAAGTAAGTGGAAAATCTTAGAAACAGAGGAAAGGAAAAGACAGAGTTTATAGATCTTACCACTTGGTATATGATGGATGCAATTGTTATGGTCCAGAAACGTCCAGCGAATGAATCGGCGATGAAAGCTCCAAGCAAAGGGGTCAAGCTGGCCGTGCCACCAAAGTTGGTGAGGGTGTTGGCTGCTTTGGTTAAGGGCATATGTAGCTGCGTGGTTAAGTAGCTTATCATATTAGTACTAAAGCCAACCACAGCCAACTTCTCACAGACCTCATTTCCTGAAAAGCACACCAGAAAACCAACAAACAATTAAACCAGTGCTATATCCCAAGGTAATAATGTTAATAATTAAACTTACCAAAGATGAAGGGCATGGTGAACATTCCTCCCTTTTGTTTCTCGGAGAGGTTGGTTTTGTTGTCCTCCATCTTTTCCATTTTTCTGAGGGTTTTGATGCCTGAAACTGGGTTCTGGAGATGGTTATTTATAGAGGTGTACCAAGGTGCTGCAACTTTGTTGAGCTACCATTCACGGCAGCACCATTGGCCACAAGTTGGTGTAGTACAATGACATGGATAAATAACGATCAAGTTAAAGTTTCGTAAATATTTTCATTTTTTTGATTCATCTGATAAATTAAAAAAATTATACAATCTCAAATTCTTTTTAGTTTATACCTATTATATCTTTAATTTAAAATCTGAAATTATTATTTATTGAGATATCACCTAGAGTAAGTTTTGTGAATATTTGTCTTATTGGGCAGGCAAGAACAGTGAGATTTTGTTATTATCCGCTTTTTCTTGGTGTGCAGCGATTTGTATTATTTATTGTTTTTGTACGGGCTGTTTTATCCTGCTGATATGTGATCCCTGTTTTATGAGCATGGTTGTGATCGTGAACGAAAATGTTAGGGTAATTAATAAATTTTAAATATTTATTTTATTTTATTAATAAAAATAATTAATAATTAATAAAATAATTAATATTTATTAATCAATAAATTAAAATTAGTTAATAAATTGATACCTGTTTAAAAAATAAAATAAAATATTAATGGTTTTAACAATTAAGGACCCCTCCCTATTTTCATCATTGCCATTGGTGGATATGAGAATCTTCGTTGGAATTTTTTATGAAAGGCCATTTTCATACACGCAA